GACTGCAAAAAGGAACAGAGTGGCCCTACTGCATCCAACCACCTCCATCCTCCAGCACGTGCTTAAGGAGAGACAGGATGTGTGTGCCACCAGCCCTGCCCAGCCTCCTGCGATGCGAAAATCAGCAACTTTCCAAGTCAAAGGTGGTGACCGTGTTTTCAATAGACTTTATGACTCTTATGATGGTGTCTGAATTATTTTTGAACCCTGCTGGACTTGTAACACCCATGACACTCTAATTGCTAGGAGGAAAAAGAATTCATGGCCAGCAGCCCTCCTCATAGTCACCTCACCACCAGTCTCCTCTCTTACCCATATCTGATGATGCCGTAGTGCTCTCCTCCAGCCTGCTCTGTAGCTGTCTCACTGCTGTTTCTACACATGTCTTTAGATTTCTGTGGTCCTGCCTTCCCCTGATGCATCCCCATTCCTATGACCTCTCCAAGAGTGGCTCCTCCAGGGATCCATCAACCTGTCAGATCTGGGGTTGGGCCACATTCCCTTTTGTCTCCTTGCAGGCACACATGTGCTCTGGATCAGATGACCTCCAAGTGCCTGCTTTTGCAATTGTGTCAGCAGCCTTTGCAGACACTGTGAATCTTCAGCAATTAATGTTGCAGTTGGGTTTACCATAGCAGGGCATGGATGCTCAGCTGATGCACCAGAGGATGGATGAACTCTTCTCTCAAATGTCTGTTTACTGCTCTGCAATTCTGAGGTCCTTGTGGCTGCATCGCTCTTTTTTCAGCCTAAGAAATACCCAGTGTACTACAGACATCACTAGAACAAATATAACAATATTCCATTGAAAGTTAAACCACAGCTCATGAAAAGCCAAGCAGCATCCAGAAGTTTGGATGGGGTGAACCACACAGCCTCCCCAGGTGGGATGAAGCCACTCTCAAGCACTGAAGATCCAAAATAGACCTGCTGTTTATTTCTGGCATATACTTGGGACCATCCCAAAGCAAATGCCCAAAGTCCCTTCAGCATCCATGCTGGGAGGATCTCCCAGCAGCCCGAGAGAATAACTGATTAAATGACTGCATCATTAAATGATTTCAGATCTGATAGCCAGCCACGTGCTGCCAACCTGCTTCTGCACACGAGGCTGAGCCTGTGTCCTATTCCTGAGGCTACGATCCTCACCAGCAGGATATGGACCAGAAGGGACCAAAAACATCATGTGGCCCAAACACAAATTTGGTGACACACATCACACCTGACAGATGCACGTCCAGATGCTCTAAGGGATCCATGTGGGTGTTGATTCTCAACACTCTTAGGCAAAACTCCTTCCAGACATTCACTCTTTTTACTATGAAAATGTTATGTCCACTCTGGATCTTTCTTACTGCAATTCAAACCATGACTTCCTTCCACACTGGAAACAACTTTTTATATATTTAAACACTCCCTATCCACCAATTTTTGCTTTTCTTGCCTAAAGCACAATTCTCTTGCTCTTTCCTTTTATTACTTCAGATGCGCTTTAGTTGGCACACTTTTTTTCCATGAAGCATGGACTCAAAACTGGAACCAGTGCTCCAGCCTCAGCAACAGCAAGGAGAGCCAGACAGGATCTCACACAAATCTCAGAGCTCTTGTTTACAACCTTGGCACAGTTTTCTGCTTAGCTTTTGTGGACTTCGACCAGAACTGGTACCCTAGTTGTTTCCCATCCCATGCTTATGCTACTGCTTATTCCTGCCCACATGCAGGAATGTGCATCTGCTGAACAACAGCCTTGGCCTCAGATTGCATCTCCAGTTTATCCAAATCATTCTAAATTTATCTAGCCCTGCCTTTTAGCACCTTGCAGAGATGCCCAGCGTTACAGCATCTGTGCATTTAATAAGCACATGCGAAGGCGCATCACTGAGGTCATTAGTGAAAATAGAAAACAAGCCCACAGCCCTGGTTCTCCAAAAGAAACAACATATTCAACCACCCTCAGTGCAGGAAAGTTTTCTCTCAGTTTTAAATGGAATTTCCTGTGTTTCCGTTTGTTCCCGTTTCCTCTGGTCCTGGCACTGGGCACCACAGAGAAGAGCCTGGCCTCATGCTCTTTGCACCCTCCCTGCAGGTATTTATATAAATTGATGAGATCCACCTGAGCCTTCTCTTCTCCAGGCTGAACAGCCCCAGCTCCCTCAGCCTTTCCTCACAGCAGAGGTGCTTCAGCCCCGTTGTCATCTTCATGGACCTTTGCTGGACTTTCTCCAGTATGTCCATGTCTCTCTTGTACTGAGGAGCCCAGAACTGGACATGGCTCTCCAGATGTGGCCTCACCACTGCAGAGTAGATGGGACGGATCACCCCCCTTAGCTTGCTGGCTACGCTCCTCCCAGTGCAGCCCAGGATCCCATTTGCTTTCTTTACTGTGCAGGCACATTGCTAGCTCATGGTCAGCTTGATGTCTACCAGGACCCTCAGGGCTTTTTCTGCCAAGTTGATTTCCAGCCTGTTGACCCCCAGCTCTGTCTGTACATGAGGTTATTCCTTCTCAGATGCAGGACTTCTTAGCAATTCTCCTTGCTAAACTTCATAAGATTCCTGTTGGCTCATTTCTCCAGCCTGTCCATGTTCCTCTGGATTACAACACAACCCTCTGACGCATCAGCTGCTCCTCCTAGTTTTGTGTGAGCAGCAAGCTTGCTAAGGGTACACTCTGTCCCATCACCCAGATCATTAATGAAGATGTAAACCAGTATTTGCCCCAATACTGATGCCTGGGGCTCCCTATTAGTGGCCTCTATCTGGACTTCATGCCATTGATCACAACCTTTTGAGCCTGGCAGTTGAGCCAGTTTTCAATCCACTTCACGATCTACTTATTTAGTCTGTTACCTCACATCAGCTTGTCTATGAGGATGCTATGGGAGACAGTGTGGAAAGTCCTGCTAAATCAAGATAAAGAATATCCACCACTCTCCCTTCATCCACTGAGCTAGTTATTTCAACGCAGAAGGCTACCAGGTTATTAAGCATGGCTTCCCCTTGACTGCTCCCAGTCCTCTTCTTGTCCTTGCTGTGTTTGGAAATGGCTTCAAGGATTATTGGCTCCATCACCTTCCCAGAGATCAAGGTGGGGCTGACCAGCCTGTAGCTCCCCAGATCTTTGCTCTTGCCCTTCTGGAAGGCAGGAGTGACACTGGCTTTCTTTCAGGCCACAGGAAGATCACCATGAAGCTGATGGAGAGTAGCCTCACAGTCTCATCACCAGCTCCCTCAGCTCTTGTGGGTGCATCCTGTCAGATCACGTGGACTTGCGTACGTCCAGTTTGTTTAAGTGCTCCTTGACCTGGTCCTCCTCCACCAGGTGTAAGTCTTCCTTGCTGCAGACTATACGCCTGGTCTCAGGGGCTTGGGAGTCCTGAAGGCTGGCCTGACCAGTAAAGACCAAGGTGAAGAAGGCAACAAGTACCTTGTCCTCCTCCATGCCCTGTGTCACCAGGGACTCTGCCCCATTTAGCAGTGAGCCCATCTTATTTCTTGCCTTCCCTTTGCAGCTGGTATACTTGTAGAAGCCCTTCTTGTTTCATCCAGATTCAGTTCCAGATGGGCTTTGACTTTCCTAACCCCATGTCTACATGCTTGAACCACATCTCCATAGTTCCCCTATGTCACCTGTGTCCTTGCTTCCACCTCTTGCAAACATCCTTTTTCATGTGTGAACTCAGTAAGGAGCCCCCAGCATGTCCATGAAGGCCTCCAGCTACCTTTACTTGACTCCCTGTTCATCAGGATCCTTGAAAGTCCATCAGCTCTCCTGGACCTCTCTTATCTCCAGGGCTGTGTCCCATAGGAACACAGCTCTCCAGCTCGAGGTAAATATCTTGAATATCTTCAAGATATTCACCTGCGCAAAGAGTGACCTAATCTCTAGGGATCAATTAAAGCCTTGACATGTGAGATTCAAAGCTCCTTGACTGACAGCAACTCGTTATCCACAAGTATCTACACTCTGCTAAATTCCCAGCCTCGATAGCCTCCTGTGCCAATGACTTCCACAATCCAATTACAGTGCATGCAGGCAAATATTTCCTTTCATTAGTCTCCTTTATCATTTCTGTCTGGGTAGGAATCAGAAAATGGGGAAAAGGATTTTCTAAATTAATTTTTTTAACCCATTCATAATTATTTATAAGCATTTCCCCATTGGTGGAATGCAGTTTTTAATGAAGAAGGTGCCCAGGAATTGCAAGACCAGAGTTTTGGCTAGCCCAGTTTCGGATATTCTAAACAAATTGGGGAAAGGGTGACTGGAGAGGCCAATAAGTCAAACAGCTCCAGATTAAGTGACTTGAAAATAAGGAGATTCAACATAAAAAATTTTTAAAAGCCAGGATTTAAACAGTACAGAGCAAAAAAAATTGAAATGTCTTCTCTCAGCATCATTCCTTTCTACATACATCCTAGAGCAGCCTCTCTCCCTGAAGATGATGCGTGTAAAAATGCAAGCCAGACAAGACACAGGGTGGGAGACTGCCACTGGACAACTAAAGAAAATGGATCAGTGCTAGAAAACCTCATCATAATTATCTCTGGCAAGCCCTACAGCAAGTCCAGGCTCTTGGATAAAGTCACGTTGCTAAGCAGAATATGGCAAACGGTGGGAAAACTACCATTTCCTCAAGTGAATGGCTCCCTAGGTTCATTCCCCAGAGTTTACAACATGGACCTCACATTGAGCCTGCTTTTGTTGGCCTTCAGCCTCCAGCATCTCAGCAATGCAAGCATGGCTCAGACGGTTCCCCAGCTCCCCTTTGCATCCTGGAGGAGTGTTGGCACACTGAGGACGCATCCAGCTCACCCAGATCCTGAAAGGAGCCAGATGAACTCCTGCAGACACCCACGCATCTCTCTGTGGTCCCGCAAGTGAGAGTGGGTGGCCTCACTGTGGATGTCTAACATGGGGCAGATGAATTGCAATCCGATGGAAGGATGTGCTGCCACGTCGGCAGACACCACTGGAGGTCAGTGTGAGCTAGCATGGCTGTGGAGCAGGATAGGGACGGGGATCCTACCACCCTGGCTCTACTGGGGTTCCTTTTTGGTCTCCCCAATCCCCTTTGAAGCTGCTCTGGATGCAGGAGCAAGCAGCTGGGTCCCCCTTTCTCCACAATCAGTGATGTGGGGTGGATGCACACAAACACATGCAGACATGCACACAAACAATTTTCATGCATGGTTATGGAGCTCACAAGGGAAAATGATGCTCCGGCTTGGTAATGGGCAGGATCAGGCTCCAAACCTCCCACTGGATGCACCGCTCTGCATCAGTGACCACAATGTACTTAGGGGCAGTGTCCTTCCATGAGCAACAAGAGCCGAAAAATCCATCATAGTCACACTATGCTTCAGCAAAGGGACTACAGAAAATGAGGAAGATGGTTAGTAAAAAGGAACAGCAAATTAAATCTTTAGAGGTGGCATGGAGACCACCAGAAAAGATCATGCTGGTCACTTGGTCTGTTAGGAAAGGTATGAGAAAG